GGGTCCGGGGTGGGGCATAAAACCCCGTTTTTGGGGTTTAGCCCATGTGGTGCGCGCTTTCGCTGCGCACCCCCCACTATTTTTATTTTTATTTTTTGAATTTTTTATTTTTTTTTTGAATTTTTTTTTTTTGCGGGGGGGTCTGGAGCCGGGGTTGGGGGTGCCCAACCCCGGAACCCCGGAACCCCGCCGGGGCCCCGGGGCCGGGGCTCGACAACCCTGGTTATAACATGAATTGTTGAACTCTCGATTTCTTTACACCTTGATCAATTTTGTGTCGACATTGAGTCGGACCTCTTTTAGATGACATTGTGACTTCCCTTAACTTATTGAAACTCAATCGAAGTGGGACATTTAAGGCAATCACACGGATGGTTTATGTACTAATAGTCTAGTATGGATATCGTTGCACTTCGACAATTTATGCTTTAAGTTAATGTATACCAAGTTGAACTTATTAACTCGATCGAAGAGAAAACTTTAAGCCTTAGGCAATCACACGACAAACGAGATCATAGTTTAAGTACTATGGATTCCATCGCACTTCGATAATTTATATACATACTTATTAAAAGACGTGACAGTGTTCGGTGTAATTTAAGGATGGATTCCAATACACTTCGATAGTTTTGGACTCTATCACACCTCGACAATTTATGTGACTTTAAAGACGAAACCGGCATGTCATTGTCAACCATTGAAATGCACTCCAACAACAGACGTAATGAGACACTGAACGACAGGGTTGTGAATGACCTAAGAGTCTGCATCACACGGATTATCATTGAGCATTGAGTCAGACGTGCTACACATGACATTGTGTGAAGGAGAAACTAGAAATCCATCGATGAGTCAATGCAATCACACGGTAAACAAGATGGTTTATGTATGGATTCCGGCGCACTTCGAGAAATAATCACAAACTGAAATTTACGTGAGTACCATGGATTCCGTCTCACTTCAAGAAATACTGTACTAATGAAAAATTGAAAGTTGAAAATTGTATCGGCAATTAAAAGTTGAAAATTGTACCGACACGTGCAAAAAATCGCAAATGCAAGATTGAAGTACGTCTAAATAAAACGCTACAAGCCAACTATGCATTGAACTGCGTCTAAATTAAATGCTACGGACCGCAATAATGTAAACTTTCTATCGACGTCCCTGCGTCCCATGAGAACCAAACCCGTATAAGGCATTCATTGACGACCCGAAAGCAAGGGGTTGTGGCTGTCCCTTCGTCGCCACCCTCGAGAACACTGAAATGTACTTCATCCTCACAAACCTACTGGCACCTGCCAAGGACTTACCAATGGCGTCACGCACACAACATGCCACATGCTCTACCTCATGCCACTTATAAACCTCATCAATTTGACCGGCAATCTCAAAATCGGATTGTCCGTTCTCGTACATAAGGTGCAAATTCCCCATGTTGCGACCATAGATTCTAAGCTGGTTGCAAGAAACTAGCACTACAGCGTCTACCAAAGTCCGCTTTCGGTTTGAACATGTCACACACAGCACTCTGCAAAAGTCGAAACCGGCCACAGACAACCGTACGCAATAATACGACACATCTTTTGGCTGTATTCCGACACTGCGCAGCGGATATACTTCCAAAAACGGATTGTAGGATGCACAGTCCAACAACTATTGTTTCAAGTCTGCAGACCACCCCCGAGGTGACCTCGTGACGTTGTCAAGGCAAAGGTAAAACCGGTTATTCTCTTCCTGCCTGAGCGTGGCGAGCAGGGACGGAAGTTACCTGACACAAATGACATAATGAGATACTTTGATCAGACTTCCCCACTCCATCGCGGAAGCAAACTTGTACTCCTTATGCCATGGACATTTCCTTGCCAAGATGACTCTATCCCATTCGGCCTCGGACCACGCATCGAGAGGCTTGTCCAAGAAGGGGACGACGGTCATCCACAGGTCGTTTTCGAACTCTGTTGTCATCGACTCGACAATTTCGGTATCGCCTCCCGAACCACAGAATCCGCATGCATAAGGGTGAATGGGACATGCATAATCATGCCGATGGTCCATGACTCCTTACGCACTCCCTACACAAGATATGAAATGCAAACACAAATGAAAAAGAAATGTCAAAATAGTAGAAAAATCGCCTTCATGATGAACTTAACTTCAGAATTTGTTGAACCATCACCAACAATCTTAAAAAATTCAACCATAGACCATGGACAAAATTCGCTACGCAAAATCATCACAAAAACAATATGCTCCCTTCTGAATTCTCGTCTGTCCAAACAGTTATTTTCAAA